AAAATAACACTCAATTATTACAGTTTCGTAAATCAACTATTATTTCGCAAGATCTTTAGCGTTATTCCAATCAAATCAACGGAGGTCATATAAATGATAGAATTCATTTCCGAAGACCTTTTATCTCTAATCTCAGTACGCTCGTGCATGTGAACAAACAATTATAAATAAGAAAAAGCCAAGATTTTTTTGCAGATTATATTAGTTGGAGAAATTTCTAAATTGGGAGTTGTCACGAAAAGGGCAACAGGTTGATATAGTAAAGAATTTCATGGTAAAAAGTACTTATTTGAGTTTCATGCACCATTTAATTAGGCTACGATCGCAAGATGTAGTATTAGTGGCACGTTTTCACGGTTTAGTGCTTATTTATGGCTTTATTATTCTTGAAGAGATATTGAGATAATTAGTTTTAACTTCAATTTTTATTCAATTATAATCTCACAATTTTTATTAATTTATCCGGTATTCACAGTGTATCTATAGTAATCAGGAGATACCACTAATTTGTCTAAGGCTACAATATAATTTATAATATGTTTCTTAAGTTTTTATCTGATTTTTGTCAATTTAAAATATATTCAAGAACCTAGTTCTCAAAATATCTATTACACATTAGAATGCAGTCAATGTCATCAGACTAGTTTTAAGAGAAAAATATAAAATTTAGAATAACATCAACCTTTCACTTAGTTAGTATTTAGGTGCATTTTGTAGAAACATAATGCCATTAATTATAAACATTGTGAGTACATAATTTTTAAAACTGTAATTTTTATGTTACATTCATAAACTCTCATAAAAATCCTTGTATAAATTCTGAAAGTGCCATAAGGCATAGTTTACGTAAACACTGTACATTGAGAATATTTTTGGCTTTTGTTACATTATATCAAGTGCCAAAATTAGATCCATTTACCAAATATTGTTCATAAATTTGCAGCTTTAAAACTCGTAAAAAGCATTGTGACATAAATTCAGTGCAGGAATTAATTTTAACTTTCCTTGGACGAAATCAGCTGTAGGTGAGAGTAATGAATGTCATAAAAAACAAACACTTCGAAAATAAATAAACTTTCGTTGATGTTATTGTGAATTAATTGTATCATTATAAATTTATTAATACTGCAACGACCTCATTGCCAACTTGGCATATGTTTTATTTTGTTAAATGATCTTTTGAAAAATAGATTACCTTTCGTTTTCATTTGCATACATGAATAATTGATTTAATTTTGCAAAGTTATGTATATTTAATATATATATATATAATATATATATATATATATAAATATATATATATATATATATACCCGGGCACGCTTTGCTGAGGCTTTTATTAAAATTCACTGTATTGAAAATTGAATATAAAGTAAGAGAGTAACGTTAGATTGAAACTTCTGTAAAATGTTAAAAAATTTCAATTTTTAACATGATTAACTAGAAAATCTTATTTGATAATGGTCCAATTATCGACATTTCAAGTCATTCTGAACCGTTTGACATCAAAAGTGATATATCGTATACGTGTATATGTGAACCAAAAATTGATTTTTCGTACTCAGCGAACATTTTTCCAAAAAGTTCTAGACCGATTTCAATTTTCATACATTCTAGAAATATTAATACTCTATATTTTATAATTATAGATATTTTTTCAAGCCGCCCTTCTAAATGGTGTTGAAATTCTACCAGACAAGCATGTATCAACACACTTCACCTCACCGCCTAAATTTCCTGATTCAAGTTCAATTGATTTTGTTCTACCTGGAGTAGAAACAATTCATTATTTAGTAGGAGAAATTGCTACCCTTCCCTTGGACGATAAATTTCCCTTAGACCCAGAAGTAGATTTACGACCGCCAATAAAAGAAGACATAATGAATTTTTATAGTGGACAAAATAAACTCAATTGGACAATTTTGTCAGGTGTTGATGATTACATGCATTCTACAAACATAACAAAATTGCATCAACAAGACAATGAAAATGTAAAAGCATTTGAAGAACTTTCTAAACAAGAGAAGGATATAAATAATAAGGAAGTTTCTATGATGATCTTAGTCACCCGTACTGGAGAAAATATGAGAAACCAACAATATTCTTTAACGAGAGACACTTTAGTTCATTTACATTCTGAAAATAATTATAAAAGTGAAATATTGCAAAATAGTCAGCAAAAGTTACTTAGATTTACAAAACAACATGTTAAGTCAAACCAGTTCCATTTTCGTAAAATTAGCAGGTATGCAAATGGAAAATTTGTACTTTATTCCAAAAGCAAGAATTCAAGGAAACGACCAAGAAATATTATCAACAAAAGACACTTATTGATTTCTAAAATTTACTATTTAATAAAAAGTAAATAACTTTTTAACAAATTAACAAACAAATAATAAAACTACAATATAACCAAAACTTTAATATTCTTTTATGACCTTTCAAAAAATATTATTTTAGATTTAATTTTTATTCTATTTTCACTTTTTTTTTGAATTGACAAAAACTAGTTTTATTGTTCGTAAATTATTATTATTAATAACAGTTATTAACACAATTTGAATATTCCTGTACAACCTTTTCTATTTTTTTCTTTTTCAATCGACAAAAAATAGTGTTGCAGTACTATTGTGAATTATTAATATTAATAACAGTTAACTAGAGGTTTTCCAATTTACATTCCACTGAAGATGGCATAAGATTATATGTCGAAACGTATGGAAATAATAAAGATGATATAATTTTCTACAATTTTTTAATTGATGTGTTGTTTTGAAGATTTAGTCTCACATATTTCAACATCAAAATTACTAAAATATTTAAACACACACACACAGACACACACATATATATATATATATATATATATATATATATATATATATATAATTAGATTTCGGTATGTAATTATGTTGGCGTACATGTGTTGCAGCAATGCCCACTCAACGCAATTTGAAATCTTAGCCTAACCTTATCAATTGTGGCGGACGTAGCTCAGAGGTAGCATGTCCGACTCACATGCCGGAGATCGATGGTTCGACTCCTGGCGCTTTCAAATAATTGTTAATTTGTAGAGTACAAGAAAAAATAGAAGTAAATAGGAAAAAAAAAAAGAAGTTTAGAAGATGAGAACATATTGAGAAACAAGAAGAAGGATGAAAATTGAATGGAAGATTAGGATTTAAGAAGAGATAGTATATATATGATGATTGTATAAGAAATATGTATGTAAGAATTGTATAGAATATGATGAAGAATAAAAATGAATAATGTATGTGGCTAAAAATGCTGTAAAGCGGAGGCCAATAAAATTAAAAAAAAAAAAAAAAAAAAACCTTGTCAATTGGAATTTTGATATCGTTATAAATTTTAAATACATCTTTTGATATAAATTATCTTAAGGTATATAAAAAAAAGTCTGTTTACCTTAGACAAGTTGCCAAATCTGGTTTTATTTGCTTTAGTTCTTCTAGTAATAATAAACGTAGTTCGTTTTGCATAAAACGTTTTTAAAACTTAATTATTTCTTCATATTTAACTTAATTTTGATCAAACACATCTATTTCAATTTTTATTAGAGATTCATCTATTTACCTCGCCGGATTTTTTTTTAATTTAAAACCAGAAAAATAGCATAGATAAAAGAAAAATACTTTAATTTTGTGACAATAATTTGATGATTACTGTATAATAAATAAATTTTATCACTTTTATTTTTTGAACCTCTTCTGGTGTGGTTGGTATTCATTATTTTTGTTCAAAGTTATTGTTTTGTCTTCATTCTATTTAAATTTTTTAACTGAACTTTAGCAAATATCAAGTGTTAAAAGGTATAAAATAATGAATTAATTATATTAAGTAATCTTCATTCTATTTAATTTTTTTAACTGAACTTTAGCAAATATCAAGAGTTAAAAGGTATAAAATAATGAATTAATTATATTAAGTAATCTATAAATTATTATCAATCATTTTGGTAATGGTTTTTATGTAAAAGAGTAATTTTGTGACAATAATTAAGTGTCTTTATAATTTGTATATTTTGAACTTATTTAAAGTTGGTATTCAGTGTGTTATATATTATTTATAAACTATAATGTTTAATTTCAATTTTAATAGGAGATTCGCTTAAAATCGTCATATACAACTTTTTTCTTAATTTAAAACCAAAAAATGCTATAATTTTGTGACTATTATTCTCAATTTTTCTCATAGTTGGTATCCATTATTTTTGATCAATTTAATTTTGTTGTTATATATTATTTATAAACTATAATGTTTAATTTCAATTTTAATAAGAATTTCACTTAAAATCATCATATACAAAACTTTTTTTAAAATTTAAAACCAAAAAATGCTATAATTTTGTGACAATAATTTTGAACTTTCTTCTGGTTGGTGTCCATTGTTTTTGTTCAATTTATATATAATTTTGTTGTTATATATTATTTATAAACTATAATGTTGAATTTCAATTTTGATAAAAGATTTACTTAAAATAGTCATATACAATTTTTTTTTAATTTAAAACCAAAAAATGCTATAATTTTGTGACTTTTGTGTTGAATTTTTCTCATGGTTGGTATCCATTATTTTTGTTCAATTTATATGTAGTTTTGTTGTTATATGTTTTATTCATGTACTATGTTGTTGAATTTCAATTCTAATAAGAGATTCACTTAAAATCGTCATATACAACTTTTTTTAAATTTAAAACCAAAATATTACTATAATTTTGTGACAATAATTTTGAACTTTTTCTCATGGTTGGCATCCATTGTTTTTGTTCAATTAATTCATTACGTTGTTGTTACTGTTTCATTGGTTTAACTTTAACTGAACGATGGCGGTTATCAAGTGTAAATGAAATAAATGTCAACGTTATAAATAATTATAAATAATTAATAATTATAAATAATTTTAATAGTGGTTTTTATGTAAATGAGTGAATCTAAATCAATTTATCGATAACAATATCAATTGTTGTAAATTAATTGTGCATCAAAACGTTGTAAAATAATTGGCGTATAAAACATTGATTATTACACGAGTAGTAATTATTATTTTGCAATATTAATTCTCTAAATTAATTGCTTAATGATAACGATAACATTTGTTCATTCGAGCATTCGATTGTGTATGTAAACACGATAAGAAATGCAAGATCGGACCAGGAGTGGGGACGAAGTGAAATCTCAATCAAGAAGTTGTCAACATCAGCAAATCATTTTGTGTTTGTTGTTACGGCTTCTAGTTGATCCACTACTTATTAATAAATAACAAAATGGTAAATTTATATTTATTTTATTATTATTTTAATTATAATTTGTTAATGTCGGTGTAATAATGCTAATTTAGGTTATGGTTTTGCACTTTAGGGGACTGCATTTTTGTGACTTCCATTTGACCTCTGTGCTAGTATAAAAATCTAATCTTTTTGGTTAATTTTTTTCTTATCGCTTTTTCTATAATAAATAATGTTTTTGTGTTAAGTAATAAATATCATACTGATATTCAATTGCTGTTGCTAAGTGATGGTTTTGTTAGATTTTAATGCAAAAATAATAAGTGCTTTTATAGTATTAGAAATTAAATTTAAATCAATTTAGTTGTTGCTATTTTTTAGTAACTTTTAAACATGTGTTAATTCAACAGATGTTTTCATTTGCATAATTAGTTGATTATCAGTACTTAACATCCCAATTACTGATATATACTAAAATTTCTTGATTTTATGTGTTTGTATATGTTTAAATATAGCATATATAATACTATTATTATAATACCTAACCTTCATTGACTAGAAAAATATTTCGACAAACATATATGTGCATGTTACGGTTTTATGGATTTTATATCCTTAATTTATTAGGAATGGTGTATCACTTGTTTAGTAGTTAGGACTTGTCTCTTACCCTAATTATATTATAATTCTATCCCCTAAAGGCTGATCCAATCCGTGTAGTTGTCACCGGTGCAGCCGGCCAAATCGCTTACTCCCTCCTCTACCAAATCGCAAAGGGTGATGTATTTGGAAAGGACCAATCACTCATTTTACATTTATTGGATATACCACCAATGATGGGAGTCCTAGATGGCGTAGTGATGGAACTTTCTGACTGTGCCTTACCTCTACTTCACTCTGTTGTTCCCACAGCAGACCCTGCTGTTGCTTTCAAAGACGTATCAGCAGCTTTCTTAGTAGGAGCTATGCCCCGCAAAGAAGGAATGGAAAGAAAAGACTTACTGTCTGCTAATGTTAAGATTTTCAAAGTCCAAGGAGAAGCCTTAGACAAATATGCTAAGAAAGATGTTAAGGTTTTGGTTGTAGGAAATCCAGCTAATACTAATGCTTTGATTTGTTCAAAATATGCTCCGTCTATCCCCCCTTCAAACTTTACTGCAATGACTCGTTTGGACCAAAACAGAGCCAAGGCACAACTTGCTGCTAAAGTTGGCACAGGAGTCGCTAATGTAAAGAATGTTGTAATTTGGGGAAACCATTCTTCCACCCAATATCCTGATGCAAGAAACGCTGTTGTATGCTTGAATGGTAGCAAGGTTCCCATTCCAGAAGCTGTTAAAGATAATGTTTATTTGCAAACACAATTTGTACAAACTGTTCAAAAGAGAGGAGCTGCTGTAATATCAGCACGAAAAATGTCCTCTGCCATGTCTGCTGCAAAGGCAGCAGGAGATCACATGCACGATTTGTGGCATGGTACACTACCAGGAGAATTTGTTTCAATGGGAGTTTTATCTGATGGTAGCTACAATGTACCAAGAGACATTATTTTCTCCTTCCCTGTTACTATTGAAAACAAACAATGGAAAATTGTACAAGGTTTACCTATTGATGAATTTTCAAAATCAATGCTTAATACTACTGCCAAGGAGTTACTAGAGGAAAAGCAAGAAGCTCTTGCAGTTTGTAGTCTTTAAATATCAGATACAAATAAATACAAATATATTTATGGGTATTTTCATACAGTTTCAAAAATTACAAATTCTATCAATTGTTGCATACATAAAATAAAACTAATTAAATCTAAAAACTGTGGTATCATTTTACAGAAAGCCTTGCATGCATTTTAAAATTATATTGTCATAATCTTACATGCATTTCTAAATTGACCTGTTTTCTTGCAAATTTTAATATGTTTAGTAATAGACTAATTACAAATAAATAAACTTATCACACATTATCTAAGTATTGGATAGTTTATATTGGGTACAATATATCATAATGCCCAGGTCTATACAAAAGATGGACAGATGGTTTGATGCCATCAGGAAAGTCGTGAGCTATAACTTGGCCCCCATCACCACGATCCATATATTCAACTCGCACTCCACTTTTCAGTGCTGTACAAATTGCTATAATGTGGATATGGTCAGATTCTTTGTACATAGGCTCAACTTCCTAAAAAAAGAAACAATTATAATTTTATGTACAATATAGCAATTATTTGGGATTAAAAATATGGATATCATTTATGAAATGATTAGAAGCAGTCAGATTTATAGTAAAAACAAATTACTTGATGACAGAATTCTGCAATTGTTCGATCCCCATCAATAAAGTTCTGGTAGAACTCAGCTCCTTCTTGTAACTGTCCGGATGTTAAGAGTCTTAGGTAAACTACCACATAATCTGAGTAACCTTGTTCATTGAACAGCTTATGCAATTCTGAATGTGATTCTGATATTTCTTCAGTTTGAAGTTTTCTAAGTACCTCCATAAACTAAATTATAAGAAAACTTATTATACATAGTAAATAACAAGGATTGTACAAACATCATAGTCTTACGGTATCATGAAAGTCCTCTAATGTGAATTGTGGGAAACCAAGTTCTACTAGCTTTTCTTTGGACTGTTTAGCTAAAACAACAAAGTTTGCAAATTTTTCTTTATCAGTAATCAGTCTTTCTAGATAAGCATAAGAAAATGCACGAAAAAAGCAATTTCCATCAGGCCTTGTTCTTCGAACGGATTTATACTTTGCAGATAAGTCTTTAATTTTTAAGCAGTATACTTCATCAGAAGTGTACTCATTTTGTAGTGATGTAATAGGTTCCAACTCGCCTACTAAGGCAATCGACTCTGATATCTAAAATAAAGCAATTATAAATAGAATTAAAATATTACGATAATACAATTTAAAATGCTTTTAAGTTTAATTTCATTAATTCTTATGCGTTCATAGTTTTTTCTGTAGTGTATAATATATAATAATTAGAATTAAGTGCTCGATTTGAAATATATGGAAAATTTTGACTAATATTTATATGCCAGAGTTATTACTTTAATTTATTTTATTTGTTTTAATTTAAAAATTGCTGAAATCTATATGTCCGAAAGCATTTTACTATATTTTCATAAAACATGTGGCAAAATTATTTATAACATTAAATGACTAATTCAACAATATATTTATGAAAATAGAAAAGGCATAGTTAGGTAAAGTTAAATAAATATTAAGACCTCTTTTTCAATTTGACGTTGCTGTTGTAGTATCAATTCATCTTGATTTATAGTGTTTCCATCCGAATTGTTACAGGAGTTGACTTCCATTATTAATATTATATCTAGGAAAAATATTAAAATATTGTGTTTGTCATAAAATTGTTAAAAAAAATCGGTTTGATGTTACTTTAATAAGTTTCAAAATCATTCTTTTATTATAGCCCCATTGATAGTTATAGATAATGACAGTCTCAACTGACAGCTGACATTTGACAGATGCGATTCATTTATAGCGCGAATTTTAAATAAACTAGATAAATTGTATTATTTATACAATTAAACACTAATATAAAACGTTATGAGAATAAATAAGTTTGATAATTTAATAATTAAAAACTTATTGTTAGAAATATTAAATTTTTATGTCAAATATTTATCTTAACCTAACTTCACACCACAGTGTTTTTGTTACTTGAAGTGAAGAACGCACAAGTCGATGTTAACTCTGTTTTTAGTTTGTAAAGTTCTTTTCCGGTTTGTCACCTGAATATGTGAGTACAATATATTTTCTTAATGAAATATTTATCCGTGTTCATCTAGTTGTTTAGTTAAATTAAGGTTATTTATTATACTTTTTTATTGTATTTATAGATTATGCTTTAAGTGAATAGTTTTTGTTTTGACCGACGGCGTCATACTTGTTTAATTTTCGTTCCAACAATTAGGCTTGATACTTAACATTCTAATAATTTAGGTTTGGTTGTTATAAATATTGTTTACGTTAAATATGTTGTAATTCCACTTGTGAAAACAGTTGTTAAATAGTTATTCGCAAAATCTAGTTACTAAAATATAATTTACTTCGGTGAAGTGCAACATAACCTCATATTAGCATACGCGTTTTCCATTAGCCATTGCTCTTCTTATTACAGTACTAACTTTATTAATAATGGTGTTAATATTTTCCAGAAGGGACAATGAAGCAAATTGTAACAAATCAATCTGTGAAGATTCCAGAAGGCCTTACGGTCACTGTGTCATCGAGACAGGTCACTGTCAAGGGGCCCAGAGGAGTATTAAAACGCTCCTTCAAACATTTAGCAGTTGATATTCGTATGGTCAATCCTAGATTATTGAAAGTTGAGAAATGGTTTGGATCAAAAAAAGCTATTGCTGCAGTTAGGACTGTTTGCTCTCACATCGAAAACATGTTGAAAGGTAAGTTCTGAAATTTTGTTTGTATAACATGGCATGATGCCATTCGATTGTTGACTCTATCGAGTTTGTAGTAAAATTTCTATAATTTGCAATTAACAAGTTATTCAAACTATTTATGTTTCATGTAAATTGCATCCAAACAATTAAAAATAATTAAATTTTAAATGTGACAATTTGTGTTGATGATTACAAAGGTAATATCTAATCCGTGTACACCTAAAATGCATTTCATATAATAAGGCATGGTGCCACTCAATTTTTGAAATTATATGAAGTTTGAAGTCAAATTTCTATAATTACAATTAACAAGTTACGAAAACTATGTACTACGTTTTATGTAAATTGCATCCAAACATTAAAAGCTTTAAATGTGTAACAATTTGATTGTGCTGATGATTACAAAGGTTTTATCTAGTCTATTTACACCTAAAATGATTACTCTCTGTGATTAGAATTGTTTATTTGGAGTTCATCATCAATCATAATACTTTTTGCATTTTGTTTCTAATGATTGATTAATGGAGACGGATTGATTAATGGAATTTTCTGCTCTTGTTAAACCAAATAATGGGAAAAAATCTATGAGGAACTAGTATTTTCAAGTTGTTTATACTATTTTTATCAATTACCTTTATTTTAGGTGTAACCAAAGGTTATCAATACAAAATGCGTGCCGTATATGCTCACTTTCCCATTAATTGTGTGACCACGGAAAACAACACAGTTATCGAAATCCGTAATTTCTTGGGAGAGAAATACATCAGACGGGTAAAGATGGCCCCTGGTGTTACAGTGATGAACTCCCCCAAACAAAAGGACGAGCTGATCTTGGAAGGAAACTCCTTGGAAGATGTATCTAAATCAGCTGCATTAATCCAACAGTCGACCACTGTTAAAAACAAGGATATCAGAAAGTTCTTGGATGGTCTTTATGTATCTGAAAAAACTACAGTTGTTCAAGATGAAATATAATAAATTACTTCTATCCTTGTACATTCAAGCTTTTGATTTAACCCAACCATATTTCCATTTGATAAAATTCAAAATTCAATGCAAGTGTGACTTAAATTTTTTGATTCCAGCTAATAATTGTTTGAAGTTTTAATAATATTTATACATAAATGACCATCTTAAATCAAGTTTTTAAATCAAGAACAGAAATTTATAGTATTCAAACATGTTTGGCAAAAATTGTTTTCAAGAATTACATTCACATAGGAAGTAAATTTAAAGTTAATGATCTTAAGTGATAAAAATTTTCACTGCCGCCTTCACAGATAACAGCACTGTTTGCTTATGGAAAAATCATTTTTCGTATTTTCAGAACTTGACATGGTTTAATGCAACTCATCTTTTATTAGGTAAACGAGGCTGCTCTGATCAAATTTCAAACAACTCAACAACATATTGTTTACCAGGCCTTCTATATTCATATTTCTTTCAGAAACATACTTAACAATTATTGATTATACTCTCAAGCTAGGGTATTTGCATATTGGATGGACTCGAGTAATCAAGGTATAGCACAGGATAATTATACTAAAAAAAAATTACAAGTGTTGTGATGGATGCTTTGTGTGAAACCTAAAATTTATTTTGCTTAAATTTTATAATATATTCTAATCGTTCGAATTCTAATAAGTAATACCCACCTCGATTTAATGTCCCTTTTTCTTAAAATTATTCTTAAAGTGGCTTAATGACTCATCTGATATCGTGTTCGAGTTCAACTTACAAAACATATGAAAATATGTGCACACTTAGATCAGATGATATATGTATTTTGAAAATACTCAATTTTACATAAATGAAAGTTCAGTAAGTTTATAAAGGGGCGTTATATATTTGCTATTTCTCAAACTTTTCAGCGATTATTTAAACTTTTGAATTATTTCTTTATCATAAGGAAGAATCATATGCGTTTTTATCGAATTTTGAATAGAGTTCTAGATGTATGTTTTTTAAGGTTTATTGGAAAGATAACACCTTAAAGGTTTATAGGCTAAATTAGCCGCATTGAAATAAAATACAGTATTTGTGTTCCATTTTAGTCAATATATTTTTTTTGTATGTAGTGATATTTTTACACCAGTCCTGAAATGGATAACAAGTAAAACTGTAGGATTAAAAGAAGGCTTTAAAAATACAAAATCTTGTGAATATCATCTGAGATATTTCGATAATTCACATGTTTAAGTCTTGCTCTTGTGAAGTAACATAGTCTTCAGGGAAGTGGGTTTGGATGATCCTCGAGGCGGCTTTTGTAATTGGCTGAATATATTCGTATTTCATAATTTATTGTGTATATTTCTTCATATATTGGGGCCCAAAAATTTCATTTTAATGGTATTTAACCCTTTTGATTATAATACAAAGAATATTTGAGGTATTTGGGTAACAAGTTTAAAAATAGGTAAAACTGCAATTTGATTTACACAAATTTAAGTTTGTATCATGGGTATGAATGCGGGATTTTGTAGAATATGTGAAATTTACATTTATTAACATCAAAAGACATCACATCAATTGCTTTAGATTAGAAGTCGCAGTAGACATCTGAATCAAATTTTACCAACAAAAATTGACTAACAGTAAATTTCTGTCCTGTTTTCTAAGTCAAAATTAAATTTTAAATTCGGTATACTTCTATGTATTTATTTATTAGTTTTTCCTGGAAAATAATTTACTGCTAGTTAATTTGTTGGCAAAATGTAGATGTCTTTAGATAATGATATGCAAAATTGCATCCAGGATGCGACGTTGTCAAATCTTGCACCAATTATTTATTGTAAATGCACGATCAAATCCCCTCCAGTTCTCGCCCTTAAAAATAATACTGCAAAGTTATTTTAGCCAGTATTTGTCGGGTGGACCTCTTAGAGAAAGCATATCGATAGCTGGTGCATCTCGCGCCGAAATATTGCACCACGTGCCGGTAATTGAGTACGTACAATCGACTAAAATATGACAAAGTGAATATTAAATATGTGTTAAATTTTAAATCCTGTTTGGTTTTGTCAATTTTACTATATTGGTGTTTAATATATTGCATCACACCGTCGTCATCCACACCTAGTATTACACCATGTGCTGGTTAATAAGTACCAAATAGGTACAATGGACAAGAATTTAGTGAGACTTCTATCAAATGTGTGTTTAATTCTCAATTTGTTGTACTTATATGTTTTTATTAGTTTCATTATAATAATGTTTCATATTATAAGTTGGCGTGGTGATTGTGAAATTGCGCAGCAACCATGATGCAAATGGATGGTCTATAATGACGGCAAGTAGTTTCCTCTTTTAAGTCGGGCGGCGCATGAGGCATTTTATTCTTTCAACAATTGCATATAGAAGTTTATGATAATTAAATCTTTAGATTTGGTTCACTTTTAGGTGTGGTTTTATTAGTTTTAGTATATCGGTATAGTGCTTGTAAAATTGGGGTGGAACCAAGACCCAAATGGATCCACTGGAATCACGAAGCAAGGACTGGCGTACAAGGTAGGAAATTATTGAATATACTTTCAATTTAACAATAGAAAAGTATCTGAATGAGTTACAGAATATTCAGGTTGTTTTTAACACAAGTTGCACGCGCAATAGAAGTTTTAACTAAATATTTTACTATTGATTTTAAGACTATTTATTATAAAAGTAGGTGCATTTTTCAGCACTCGTGCAACATAAGAAATAGATTTATGTTACGGTGCATTATATGTACTATTACTATTGTGCCATGTCTTTGATCAAAATTGTGATACATTGTGTGTACCACCAAGCCTGTAAGAATTGAAACAAGGATGGAGAACACGTGGTCGGTGGGCTGCATGCGGTTTCCAAGCATATCTCGAATAATATTTTGTTTACTATAGTAACTTTCTTATATTAATACATTTATTTTAGTGTACTCTTTCCTTGTTGCCTAAGTTTATAAAAAAATAATTTTTAAAATTTTGTAAATTTTATTTTTGTTGTTTTGTTGTCAGTTTATATTATTATGTTTATTAATAACTAAGTATTCTTAGTTTTTCTTCCATAGTATTCTTTAGTTTTTCTTCCATATATCGTAACTTCGTATTTCAAACGATTTCGCCTATAGGCGAGTTGTACTTGAAAAATTCAAGGAAAATTAGAAAATCTTGAGAAAATTATATGAACACACATATCGAATCATATATCGGTTTATTCATAGTTTTATTATTCATCTTTAGCCCAAATAAAGCTTTTTGTATATATCAAACTTTGTAAATAATATATTATAATTAATTAATTAATAATATATTAAACATTATAAATTTAATTTCCGATTTCTTGCTGGTGTAGAAAGTAGACTTTTCATTGCTCAGTAATGGATGCTTTGTCTTTTCAACCAGAAGACAAAAAAGATGGTTCCAGATTCTTTATTGGACTACTTGATATCAAGCAGCAGTGTTATAGGTTTCCACATCAAAATATACATCGAAACATGTATCCGAGTGAAAATAGTGGTTTCCCATGAAATTCCAATTGTTTTCTAAGCAAAAATGCATCTAATTAAAAATCAGGATTGGGAAAATTATGAAAAAAATATATCGAATGGGGATAGGTCAATCGTTTGGTTGTCTTTGAAGCAACATTGTTAGAAGTGTATACTTCACTACAGCTCTTACTATAAGAACTATCAAGTTGTGATTGCGTAATATATACTTCTAAAATATTTTTTAATCAACTGTTACTATACGCCGCATACTAATGCGACAAACCAGGGTTTACATTTTTGGTAAATTTCATAGAACTACTTTCTTTTTATTCCATAACTTTTGAAAAGGGGACTAACAAGTCTATAGTATTTATACAAAATATCTATCAGGCTTTTAGTTTTTCTAAACCATATCACAGTTTAGGGTTTTTCGTGGTCTAGGGGTAAAGGCTTTGGACTTCAAATCAGACTTTCTAGTCGATATATAGTCTCTCTTTACCCGTCATAGGGCCCGCTAAGTTCTAATTGCTATTAAAAATATAAATTAAACATATATTGCCCTCTTATTTTATCTTTCCAATTACATTTTTTTCTTAGTTTATATTCGACTTCCAACTTCCAGGTGTAGTTAAAATTAATTCCATCCCGATTAAAGTCTTTCACCAAAGTATTGATCTACCAATCTGGTACGCGATCTACCAATGATTTATAGCTTCGTTAACAAGTTTTCACATATTCAACGTATTATTCTTTGAATATTTGGAATATAATAATGAAACCTTATTCTATATACGTTGGTGTTATAGAAATATCCGTACATATATATTCTTGGCCTTTTGTGCTACTAGAGCTCGGGTTAATAGAGGTTGCTTTACTGTGTAATAAGTTTTCAAGGGCTTTGAGTCTCGCGAGCAATGCAGAAATATTCACGAAAATTAAGTCATTGCGGACAAAATTTCTGAACGAACATTCCTCTTTATTTTATTATAATTAAAAGCAGCACTGCACGTCTGCGGTGTAAATTTGGGCTTTTGTTAAAGGTTGTTTAATATTTCTTCGGTCGTTACATTCTATAAACAATGTTAAGCCAATAGCTAACGAATTGAGATTCTGCAAACACTTTTTTTTTTAAAGAAATTCAATTGAGATTTTTTCAATTTTGTGAAACTGAGATTTTACGCCCAGCAAAGCATGTAAAATTACACATGGTTATTATTCAAACATTTTTTCTGAAGCTTAGGCCTATTTATAAAATGTTGGATTTTTTGTCTCTCTTTTATTAATAGCCATCAAAACCTAAATAAATTTTATGTTATTTTGATATACATTATTTTTATATAATTAGAGGTAGTAGTTATCCCAGTGGGTAATTACCATCAGATATAATTTATTGGATCAAATTAATTGGCCATAATTTTTTAATTTTTCTAAATTCTGGTGCAAGAAGCAGCGGAGCAATAACGAGTGGATTGGGATGACTTTCTAATGTTAAATCTCTTAAATCGTGAACTATAATAATTTGATCGACGAGTTCAGACCTGTTTCTTTCTGCCAAGTGGTCATAATTTTTTTTACTAATTTTTCATTTGCTGTTTTAACATAAGAGTTTTGGTATTCCATAAGCTATTATGATGATCATTTGTTGCAATAATTAGATTTTCACTGTTAGATAACAACCCAATGGTTAGCCCATTTATCATTTATTATAAAAAATCATGAAATTATTATCATATATAATATTAACATAATGAAATTATTAACTTTTACTTGAACTTTTTTATGATATCATGATATCATACTGCTTGATACCGAGCTAGCCAAGTAATACGTAAAAGTTAATAATTTCATTATGTTAATATATGATAATAATTTCATGATTTTTGCAAATACCCATTCGAGGTTATATAGATTTGAAATATAATATCAAATGAAAATCGCTTATCGAAAATCATTTCTTATATCTTAATAAAATCATTAACTTAAGTGTTAGTGCAAAATTATTATTAATTTTTTTTTTCATTTTAAGTTAAATTAGCAAACATTTTACATTAGTTTGTATTATATTAGCACTTTCCGCTCACGAATTCCGAGATTTGTATGAAATTTGCCGACGGAGCGGCGTTATCCGAGTTGAAAGGGTTAACTTTTACTTCAGTAGACAGTTCTCATAATGTAACAAGTGATTTTTTTCTTTCTAAATGCAACCTCACAATAGTTTACACTGGTGTTTACATCGCCCTCCGTGCATTCTATTTCTATTGCACTTGCATTTGTGCACCTGAGACGGAAGGATGGGGTGCTGCGCATTTCATATATGGCGGAAGTTGTTATTTACCTTCAGGAAACATAGATACGCATTTGAATAGATACCGTGTAACTGAAATAAACATGAGTATGTACAGCATTAATTTATCATACCTATAAATCTTCTGAGCGAAATGCTTTAAATTGTTCGTGGCATAATGGATTCAGAATTTAGAATATAGAAAGCTAAAAATGTTAAATTGGATTTGAATAAGGGTTCGATTTTGCCGCATAACAGAAAAATGTTAAGGCAAGGCCATATTACTCTCGAACTTCCATACATTATGCTACTCAGTCATACTGAATACTGTCAAAATGTCATGTTTTTGCTGTGCATTCAGGCAGTTTAACACATAAACTGCAACGACTCGTATGTTATGATGCTGAGTCAGAATGACCCTGTTACCTAAGATCGTTTTTCTGACATTTGCGGTTTTCAGGTTAGGTTTTAAATTTGACAACCTAAGAAATACGCCTGACTGCACACCAACCACATGGCTTTTGACGATATTTATTATGGAAAGTTCTTCATAACATGACCTTGCCATAACATTTTTTGCGGTAGAATTGGTCCCTAAATATCGGGTTTTCTGTAGTTCAGTGGTTTTAGAGCTATGGGATTCCAATCAGCAGATTTCAGATTTAGTGCCCGCTTTCGGTAGTCTGATGCCAAGCAGTAGTAGCATACCAAAAATGGCTGCACCGACTTAGAAAAATTTCGATGACACTTTTTGAGAACCAACCTACGTTGATTAGTTTTCTTTTATTGGCCAAGCACTTTGTATGAAAACTAGTGAATAATAATGAATATTTATATGAAGAATATTAGTTGGGAATCGTGCTGATTAGTTCTTTGTCATTCCTTTGTAATTATTTGTTCAATAATTTTTAATTGACAATGTTAATGATCGGCGATAGAGTTTATGGTCTTGATGGATATTCTAAAATAACAAAACCTTACGGCAAGTAGTTCAATTATTTAAATTCAGTACAGTTATGGAATGGCTATACTGTTGGGTTGGGTGACTTGCACATTATGTATTTTGTAAGTGTGAGATGGTTATATTGTACCATTGTACTATATATTTCTTTTAAAGATCTCATTTGGAAATTGCTTTGATTATTGAAATATATACTTGAAATTCAAACTAAATAGCTCAATCAAAGGATGATAATAGTGAAAAATTGCGTTTTTGCAACTCAATTATTCACTTGAGTTTTATTGTAAATCGTACTAGCTTATTTCCAATTAATATAAATTATTAAATTGAGTGATTTTAATTATCCCCTCCTCTAGAACATAGATATCCTGAATTACCAATTTTAATTCCAATTTATCTAATATGGCAGATTAGTGCAATGGATTAAAACCCCAAATATAAAATTTAACATTTTTTTAGAAATGAATACTTGAATAAATTTTAATTTACAAAATAGAAATTCACCAAAATAGAACAATTCCAGAAATAGTCTCAGAATAATTTCAGTAATACAATAATTTCAGAAATAGCTTCATAATAGATGAAATTGTGCTTATGTGAAGTAACTAAGGGGCCAATTCTCACATAAAATATATATGTATAATAATGCTATGTAACGGGTCTACATTCAGGCGTTTTACACATAAAACTTAACTTCACGTATGTGTTATCAATGTCATCAGAAAGTTGCACTTATGATAAAACTGTTGTTTGACGTTTGTGGGTTTAGAAGGTTAGTTTTTATGTGTGCAACGCCTGATCACACAGCAACTACATAGCCTTTTGACATTTTATTACCAACTTATATGAATATAACCTATATCATAGCATTACCATAATAAAATTTCTATTATGTCCAGGAATCTGCTCCTAATATTTTATTAAAAAAACTAATATGATATACTTCACTTATACTAAACTTTTGTGAATAAGTGGATTTTTCAAAGATTATCCTACCCTGCCTTTGCCAATGTCCTGCTATCGATGCATCCGTGCACAAAATACAAGTTTACTCGCATAATCTGTCACGTTCTTTTCATACTGTCTATTCCATTGAAAACTTTATTATCAAATTCTATTTTGGAATAAAATTCACTTGCGACTTGAATACTAAATTACTTCGAAATGATGTCAAAGATTATGTAATAAAATTGTGTTAAATTTATACAAGCCCCTACAAGCATAGACAGAATAAATATGATAAATTAAATTTAGGGCTATTTATAGTTGAAATATTTACTTAATTTATGTTAAAAAGTGTCTAGTCAAGGTCTATTTTATATTAGTACTGAGACGTATTTTCTTACTAAACAAGTTTACACATTTTATTTATAGTATCAATCTTAAAAATAGAGTGAAAACCGCATAAAATTCTTGTATATTTCAAAACAGTAGTTTATCGGATTCGATTCGAACCTTGGCCAGCGCGATATCAAGCAGTATCATATCATATAAAATCATTTGGTACAGCATATATACGCCAAAACAATTAGATATACATATTTAACATATATATATATATATATATATATATATATATATATATATATATATTAGTATTTATAATCTACACATAAAAAGAATGGCAAACCAATGGGTTGCTCTCTGAAGAATACTAGACAGGATGTACGATATTAAACATATATTATAGAACAAGTGCTTCTGGTAACTGTTAGAATATTAATGAACTTTTCAGACAATTTACATCAGTTATCTAATGGTAGCTACCTTATCTGAAAGGTCAGGACTAATTTTTGTTCATTCGTATTTAAGAATAGGTGTGTGCAAATATTTGTCTTGAAACTTTTATAGAACACACCCAATAGTATTATAGTAAGTACATGTTAATTTTCTAAAAATACAAAGGTAAAATTCTTGTTTCATGATGTAAATTTTTTTCACATATTGGAGGAAAAATTGTTTTTTCTGTTCCATTTATATCACACTGACATTATGACATTATGAAAAATCGACTAGTTTAAATAATTCAGCTGTATTTGCCAACGTACGTCCTAACCTAATATTTATTTCGTGTGGACAACCCAGTGGCCAACCACTATTTTTTATCTATAGACTATATATATTAAATATGTATAACTAATAACGTTGCCATATATATGTTGCAGCAATGCCCACGAAAGTCGAATTTCATTTGAGATTATATTTGACAACAAAATTTGATGTCATACAACTCGGTATCGAGCTGCCCGAGTGATCAAACCAAGGACTAGTTTGTGCTAGCACACGTTTTTAACCGATACGATAGAGTATTTTATGGAAATAGTAAGAAAAATACCGATTTTGCCTAAAATGGGGTTGAAAGCTATATATATGTATGTTATCGAGCTTTCACTTATTTAATTTTTAAATTTAGTGATAATTTTTTGACACTCTTAGAAACTCTTCTTTTTTTGAAAATAATGAGTAACTTGACTATGTAATGTGTTACTATCAGTAAAACAGTTTTTTCAATAAATCCCTTAGTCCTTTCGTCGTTTTTTTTTCAATAAATTTAGCTATTACCTATCAATTATGATTTAGCTATTAACTGTCAATTATGATTTCTTACTTAAATTATTATAATATTATTTTCTATATTCATAAACTAGTATTAACTTAGTAAGTAGGGTAAGTTATTGTAATCATCCCAAAATCCAAAATGGGAATTTTTGTATATCTTCACGTTTTGAACGTTTCTGAACATTTTGGCATACCTTAAGAAAAATGGATGTGTGTGTGTGCAAATATTAGAAGTGTCCTTCTACTTTATATTTCCCTCAAATTTGTTAAACAAGATTAAATATATGTAAAAAGCAACTTATTCCTTGCTGTATATTTTAAATATTATTATGACCTCCCCTTATGTGCAAATAGTGGTTTCGCCCTGCTAATAATTTTATCAAATTTCGAGTTACAAGAATCTGAATAATTGTATAATTCATGCAATCTCTTCATATAAATTTGAAATATTTCGACGTGGCCTCCCCCCCCCTCAGGAGCAAATATTGTTTTCTTCCGTTTGCTTTGAACGTTCATTCGTGTTACAAAAATCTGATAAATTGTGTAAATTTGTGCAGTTTTCTTAGGAAAATTTACGTGTCCTCCCCTTATCATAAATAATGGAATCGTCCACTTGCTTTAATTCGGCCAATATGATTGGTCCTAATATATTTGCAATTCCGGTGGTTGCCGAAGACATGCCGAAGAATCTTGCGCAGCCTGCTCAACCGACTCGTATAGAACAATTAGTACATTAAATACAATCGTGGAAAAAACATGGTGCCAAATTCAGTTTTGTGATAAAATTATTGCAAATTATAAACCTTATGGAAGGACATTTTTATAAATAAAGGTGTTTTGAATGTAAATAGGTTTTTATAAAGGGTTGTATTAGTTCCATATCAATGGGCATTTAGTATTTACTTTGTTTTTTTATATTCATATTTAATATATTTAATAAAATGTTTTTTTAACTAATTTATTTATTTTCAGCAGAAATCCAATTCGGTGAGAAGTCCTCAAAAACATTTCAAAAATAAAATGAAGAACTCACTATAACAAAGGATCTACTTCACAAATCGTGAAAAATACACAATCAGAGGATATAGATGTTATGAACCAGGACAAGTGAATACAAACCTTTACATAAAAAGTAAGGACAATAAAGTAGTAATATTGAATAGACATAATTAGACTTATGGGTTCTTTTGTGGACTAAAAAGTGTTTTATTTGTGTTTACAGTGTTGTGCCTAATTTCGGAACTATATTTGACCAGGAAGACCAGGAATTTCATAACTGATGTTCTAATTTTACTAGATGTTTGGAAATAAAAATCAGAAGGATGGATTTAAATGGAAATTTGCGTTGAAAACGACTTCTTGACCAGTCAAAAGATACATGGCTTTAATGAAGCAACCATGCAACTGGAGATTCGAAAGAAAAAACAAATTGATATGTATTTTATTTTTGTTGGTGATGTTTCTGTTGATCAGAAGAACATAATTATAAAAATCCATCCAAGTTTTATTAGTGATGAACAGTACGTTTAAAAAGACAAATAATCGCTTGTAGTCAAATACTGTTTGCGTGGTGTCGGCACGTAGTGATCGTTTTTTACGAGTTTTGAGCGATTTTTGATCCGAGTTCTATCGTTTTTTAGTGTTTTTTTCGTTTTTTAGTGTTTCTTTTTCATTTTTTAGTGTTTTTGTCATTTTTTAGTAGTGCTTTTTATCGTTTTTAGCGTTTGTGTAGTGCTTTATACCGGCCTTTATAGTGTTCTAGTGTAATGATCGTTCCTGGTTCCTGGTTCCTGGTTCCTGGTTCGAGGTTCGTGGTTCGTGGTTCCTGATCAGCTCTCTTCTGTAAATCACGAGGTAATGCATAGATTTTTTGAGCATAAATCAATAATGAACTAGTGGGGTGGGTGGCATCGTGCCTTAAGGCAAATTGCTGGAACTTCCCGTACCGTAACGAAATGCTCGAGGAATACTGAATGTTTTCAAATAGATTATTATGAATATTGTAACATTGTCTAATATTTATAAGAATTATATAAACTGAATTGCAAAGTTGAAATTATTTGTTTCAACAAAAAACTAAAAAAAAAAAATGGAACAAAAATTTTTTTTCCAAAATCAATTATTTTGTTAAGACAAGCAGAAAGTTTTTTGAATCATTCAAATCGGACGCTTAGTTCTCTCAAAAACTGCCATTTTTTACATATTTAGCTACGTATCTTCGAAATGGCTGGGCCTGCCTTTGCCAAAACTAATAAACACTTCTCCAATCATTACTAATTGAATGTTTTTTAGATCATTAAATCGGATACTCCGTTCTCTCAAAAATTCGATTTCTATTTTCCGCACTCTTCGCTCCGTATCTCCGAAATGGCTGGACCTGCCTTTACCAAAAACTAATCAGCTCTTTTCCCTATCAATAGGAATCGAATGTTTTTTGAACCATTCAAATCGGTTGATCCGTGCGCCCTAAAACGTGACTGGAAATTTGTATCCACACATACATACACACACACACACACACACACATACACACACACACACACACACACACACATCGATTTTTTCTGAGGTATGCCAAAATGTTCAGAAACCTTCAAAACGTCGAGAAATGTAAAAATTTTCAATTCCGATTTTCGGCCCATTACAATAACTTATCCTACGGGAAGTTAATAATATATTTAGAAACTTACAATTTTTTTCTATCTTTCAGACAACAAACTGGTAATCGGGATGTTACAGAAGAATCGGTGATTTTAAACAAAGGTCAGTGCATTTTCATTTCCATGTATGATTTCTAAGGGTACGGTCACACGTCTCGTTGTGCGTTCACAAAAAATCTGTAAACTAGATCACAGTTAGGAAGTCGTCATATAATTACATAATTAATATTTTTTTAGGGTAGGCAAAATTTTAGGGTAGACCGTACCCCCTACTAATTCATAAATTTCTTTCAGCCTAATAAGTTTTTAAAATAGAAGTGAGTGTAGTAGATAATAAAATTCGCGTAAATTGATTAATAATTAAAACAAGAGTGCTAATTAAATAAATTTTGCATAATTTCGCGTAAAACAAAGTGTGCGTGTGAATGAGTGAACAATTTGAACAATTTGACTATCTGTGCAATTTGGCGAAGAAATGTTGTGATCCATGCAGCCTAAGGTAAGATCAAATATATATACTAAATTATAAATTAAGTGATTATTTTTACTAAAAACTTGTACGCATAATAATCGGCGAACATATTGAATTATGAATCGTAAGGAATTTAAACCAAAACGCATTCGTTTCGTATTGATGGAGAGACGTGATGATTACATATTGTCGAAGACAGGCTTCAGTTGTTTCATTAGCTAAAAATGGTAATTCAGTTTTTGAGATAATGGAGCGTCCGATTTGAATGATTCAAACAACACTTTATTTGTGTTCATGAAATGAAGAGCTGTCTAAATTTTTGGAAAGGCAGGTCTAGCTCTGTAAAGGAATACCATTTGGCTGCCCATAATGATCATTTGACAAATGTACATCAAATTGACATATATTTTATAGAAATTTTAAAAATAAGTACACATTTTGTATACATTTCTATCGGCGGCGTATAATAGTACGGAAAGCGCAAGGCTGCGACGCGGCGCTTACGCGCTGCGATATTTTGTCTCACACGGCTAACACAATTTTCAAAAATATCAAAATTCACTCAAATCTAAACTTTTAAAAAGTTCTCCAAAATTTTTAAAGCTTTTTGAAAAATTCTAATTTTTGCTATGGAAAGTTGCAGAAAATTGTCTTAATGCACGATGCCATGGACTACTAGTTTAATAAATTGATTTAAAAAAATTAAAAACAAACTAGAGGTGTATGGCATAGCGCCTTAAGGCAAATTGCTGGAACTTCCCGTATTGAAAATTATTTTTTTTTTAAATAGATTAACATTTTTGAAGAAAATTCACTATAACATCTTTGAAGATTTTTGAGAAACTATAAATTTTTGACAAAAATATCCTTTTTTGAAAAAAAAATTTTTTTTAAAAAAAGTTTCCTTCATTTTGAAATATTTTGGAAATTTTGAACTTTTTTCAAAGCAATCGCACTGCTTTAGCTGCATCATCGAAGCGCGTAGGCGCCGCGTCGCCGTCTAAAGTGCAAACGATGTTACGGAACCCATATAAATGCAAAAAAATAATACACATTATTAAAATCTCCATAAAATATCTGATCATTTATTGTGCATATGTCTAATGATCATTTTTGTCCACCAAATGGCATTTTGTCACTTTTGTTACTAGATCTCCAAAACCGCTAGATCTCCCTTTCCAACTTAATCAGTTCTTCATCTTGTCAATACAAGTAAAATATTTTTTGAATTATTAAAATCGGACGCTCAATACTCTTAAAAACTGAGTTACTGTTTTTTGACACTTTTTGTCCCGTATCTTCGAAACGACTAGACTTGCCTTCGCCAAAAACTAATCAGTACGTCTCCTTATCAATACGAATCGAATGTTTTTTGAATTATTTAAACTGGTTGATTCGTGCGCCCGAAATCGTCGACGAAAAATTGTATCTAAACATACACACGCATATCAATTTTTGCTTATGTATGCCAAGATGTTCAAAAATTTTTGAAACGTAAAGATATGCAAACATTTCATTTTCGAGTTTTTTACGATTACTATAACTTACCCTACGGGAAGTTAATAAAGTTAATTTGCCAAACAAACCCACGGTAATTTCAATGGATTAAAATTTTCTTAATTTTTGTTAATTTCTTTTCCAAAATTTCTTGATTATTTTTTTATATTTTTTTTCAGTCCGTCACCAGTAAATTTCCCTTGCACGTTTTTCCACCGTCTTGCCCAAGTCGTAAGTAGAGAGCAAGTTAGCAAAGTGCCTTATGCTCATGAAATTTACACTTGTCTAATAAAATATTCCGCTCTCGACTTGAATTGAAAACCGTACGTGTTCATTATATTCTCACGCGAATTCTGTCACAGTTCAATTTCATCCGAACCATTTATTGTATCTACGGATCCGTACGGGAATTCAGCTGAAAGTGTAAATGAAAATTATTCATATGAAACCAGGCCAGGCCACTAGCACCACCAGGACCGACCGATCAACTTTGTCAACGACTTTATGGTAAAGGTACACTTTTGGGATGGCAAATTGCCATTTGGAAAATTGTTGCTAATGAAAATAGTTTGTAATCAACTAACTAGTTGTTTATACTCAAATTGCTTATTCATAGTACTATACAGTCAATACCGCATAATATGCAGGCCTTCTCCAATTTCAAATCCTGAATCAAACTAACAAATATTACTAAATTTTTATCAAAACATTTTCTATATGCTTGAATGACTAAATTGTTTTTAGTTCAAATATATTTATTATCTTCATTACTTGCTGATCAATTGTGTATCGTCGATAGTTATTGGCTTTTACGCTTAGATACTAAAATCAATAGTCAATATACTCCATACTATTTTTATTCATTTTTATTCAATTATTAGATTCCCGTAGGGTGAGTTTATAGTAATCGACCAAAAAACAAAAATGAGAAGTTTAGCATATCTTCACGTTTCAGAGGTTTCTTAACGTTTAGCATACCTCGGAAAAACGGATGCGTGTATGTGTGTGTGTGTGAGTGAGTGAGTATATAGTATGTATGTATGTATGAATACAGTATTTCAACGATTTCCGGAGCACAAGTCAACCGATTTGAATTATTCATAAAGCATTCGATTCTTATTGATAAAGAGACGTGCTGATCAGTTTTTGGCAAAAGTCGGTATAGCCGTTTTGTAGATACGAAGTGTTTGCTTCAGAAAATTGAAATCTAGTGTTTGAGAGTACGAAGCATCCAAATTGAATTATTAAAAACATTCAATTCGTAATCGTGGGTAAAAGTGGTGATTAGTTTTTGGTAGAGACAGGCCCAGACGTTTCAGAGATACGGGGCTAAATGTGCAAAAAATTGCAGTTTTTGAAAGAACGAAGCAATTTTTTTTTTTGGATAACGAAAATAATTCGTATTTTTATTTTAATTTTAGCTGAAATTCTAAAGCTCTTATATAATTGGGATAATATTTTGTCCATAAAATCCAATTTTTGGAATATACAGTATCTATAATCTATAAAGTTTCAGCAATTTGCCTCAAGGCACGATGATATACACAACTAGTTTAAACCATTTTCAGTATGTTAAAAAGAAAAATTAAGGGGTTTACTCATAAACCTAACCTACAAAATGTACAAACGCCAAATAACTAATATTTTTTTTTATAAGTGCAACTTTCTGATGTCCCATTGATAACACATATGTCAACTTAGGTTAGTCAACAGATAAATCACAGTAATTTTTCTCAAATTCCATATATTTTCAAAATATTGTGTCATGTTCATAT